ACAGACTAGCAAAGGGAGCCCTCATGGGAATGTTCTTTATCATGAACACACTGGGTGTACATAGATTATCTATGTATAAAATTTTACTGAGTTGTATAATTTGTGTACTTCAGAAAAATCAGTAACAAAATGTGTTTTTGTAACTTACTCCCCTGAAACCTTTATTTAGAGAATAGCAAGAGCTGCCTTAATCATAAAAGAATTTATCCCCAGGGGCTGGGGTTGTGGCTCAGTGGTAGAGCACTCGCCTAGCACCAGTGAGGCACTGGGTTTGATCCTCAGCACCACATAAAAATAAATAAATAAAAATAAAAGCATTGTGTCCACCTACACAACTAAAAATATATTTAATAAAAAGAATTTATGCACAAATTACAAAGTAATGGTGATGACTCTGTTATTCAACTTAATTTTGTATGCTGACTTTCAAATTTGTACATAAAATTCTTCTCTGCCATGTACTAATAGAATGCTTAAATACCTCAAGCACTTAAGTCTAGAAACAACTTCTCATCTCCAAAGTACTTTATTTTTATTGTTTGGACTTTAATTAAGAAGACTGCATAGCAGTTAGCTCTTTCAAAAGTGAAAAAGCCCACATAAATATTTCTAATTTGAGCCCTTCTGCCACATTGTTCTGAAATTCCTCACCTCCAGGGTTCTAAACACTCAGAAAATATTCAGAAGTTATTATAGAAATGCAGTAATAATAGAGGCCATTACTGTTGGTTTTTCCCCTTCCCTTTCTCTTCTTCCTTTACTAAAGAATTAAATTTACTGGAGTAATTAAACTTATTATTTTTTTTAAAAGAAATAAATGCCCCTAAGCAAGCAATCTAACATTCAACAGAAACCATTTATGATAAGTATGTCATCCCCAAACCCCAAAATCATGGAATTCTGTTCATCTGTGACTTTTGAAGCACCCTCAGACCCTTTAATAATCACAGGAAAGACATCATTCACAAAGCTTCAAAGCAGCATTTTTAAACAGGCTTCCCTATCTAGAATTCTAGATAGGGCAGAGGGGTGGAAGGGAAAGGGAGGGGGCAGGGGATTAGCAAGGAAGGTGTAATGTGATAGACATCATCATCCAAAGTACATGTATGAAGATACAAATTGGTGTCAACATACTTTATATAAAATCAGAGATATGAAAAATTGTGCAGTATACATGTAATAAGAATTGTAATGCATCCTGTTGTCATTTATTTAAAAAAAAATTTTTAAAAAAACAGGCTTTCCTGTGTATTTAAATGTGACAGTTGTGATGCCCTTTATCTTCAGCTACAAGGACATTCTAATAGGCTCCTCTAGAAGCTGGTGATCAGTTGCTTTTAATTTAGGGAAAAAAACCTTGAACCTTTTTCTAGGTTAAACAACTCCATGCAGTGTTTTCTCAAAACTCTTTTGACTTGAGAATTATATTTCTGGAGGGCAAAAATAAGGAAAAAACCCAAATACTCAACAGACACGTTCTCAGAAATTCAAATATAACTTCAAAAACCTGAATAAAACCAACAATAGGAAACTCGTGGCCAAACAATTTATTTGTTTTTTAATGGGATATGCTATAGGAATAAAAAAATGTTGTAGAATAAAGAGTACAGAAAACATACATAATATATTGTTGGGTTGCTAAAATGCAAGTCACCGCATAGCCTATACAGAGTTTATATTATTGAGTATATATATGTATGTGCATAGAAACACATAAACTAGTTATTTGCTAAAATGTTAACAGTGATACTCTTTAGGTGACAGGATTAGGTACTTTTTAGTTTAGTTTTTTTTTTTTTTTTTTTTTTGAGCACTAAAACTTTTCCACAATGAAGTCATATTATTTTTGGGATAAGATATTTTTTAGTCTTAATACCAAGTTTGGGTAAAATTATTAAGAAATATCTTTGCCTACATAGTCTTCCTCCTAACTGTGATCATTAAATTTAATTTATGATTGGTCCATTACTTAAATGCTCTAGCTTTAGGTTTTTTTACTCAGATCAGAAGATTTTAAAAAGATCTTGCTATAAGCTAGTAATACTGCTGTGAAAAAAATCAATGAACTAGAGCTGTGGTTATTCATACTGATGAATTACATAGTATTGCTAGGGTTGTAGACTGATGAATATTAGTAATATAAAACATGCAAAAATAATTCTGTATTATGTTTAGGGATACCTACATATATGTATCACAAGTGTAAAGAAATGCATGTAAATGAGAACACTTAAATTCAAAATCCTATTACTTATGGTTTGGAAATTGGGGAAGTATTTGTAAGGGATATCAAATATTGATATTTTCTATTTCTTAAAATGGCTTGATAGGTATGTGAACATTCATGACATTATTCTTTTAGCATTAGATAAAAGGGGAAAAAAGCTACTAAAGGCTTTTAGTGTTTGAATGTTTTAGACAATCCAAACCCAAATCGTATTTATTCCTATAAATGGTTCATATTCTTTCCCAAGATTCTTTAAAATCATTCTCAATTTTGTTCAGGCATTTAAGACTTATCTGGTCACATACTTTGCACAGTATAGATGCACTGAACTATGCACTTTTGGAAGTGTTTGCTCATTAAAAACACAGTGAAAGAGGTAGTGATATTTGAAGGTTGACTATCTGCCTTAACAAACGTGCCCCTGAAACTGGCACTCAAAGCAGCTATCCAATGGGCTTCAACATCAGTGTTTATTCTCATTATTAACCTGAATAGTAATTTAATCATTGGTTCATTTGAGATGACTATATTTGCTACATACAATCGAAACAGCTGCTATCACTGGTTGGAAGGCACAGTCTCTGTGGAAACATCAATATGCAAAGAAGGGCGAGACCTAAAATCCTTGTTAACTCTCCACTCAGCTGTTAAGTGCATTTGTGAAATTAGAGTTGACCTATAAGTACACTGTAATGCTTTAAAATGTGGTGTTTGAAAAAATCAATATTAGGAAAGTATACTAATTAGACAGCATCCGAGCAATTACAAAGACAGTATTATGTCAACATACATTTTTATTACCCTGAGTCTAGCATTCATCTAAGACAGAGACCTCCCAACTTCCTATTAAATATGTCCTTCCCAAATTATGAGCTAAAATCAATCAATACCTTCTCCTTGAATTCTGTGGTTAAGAGAATGAATTAAAGTTAGCAGGGGTAAATTCAGAAGTAAGAAATAACGCATAATAATGCAAATTCTGTATTTCAAGTGAATACTGACTTGACTTTGGTTAGTATAATTGTAGGCCTTATTTGAGGAGCAGACAGAAATTCTCTAAGAAACTAAAGCAGGATAATGGAAGTAAGTGAAGCAAAAGGAATTTTAAAATCATGTACTCTTTTTTATTTTTGGTACTGGGGATTGAATTCAGGTGTGCTTTAACACTAGCTACATCCCTAGCCCTTTTTATTTTTTATTTTGAGACAGGGTCTCACTAAGTTCCTTAGAGTCTTGCTAAATTGCTGAAGGTGGCCTCGAACTTGTCTTCTTTCTGCCTCAGCCTACGAAGTCACTGGGATTATAGGTATGTCCCACCATACCTCCCCAATACCATATACTCTTAAAGCACATTTTTAAGCAATCTGGCATAACAATGAAAGTTCAGGCAATAACTATAGTAAATTAGTTTTAAACAAAGGCTGAATACCACAAAGAGAATCACAAATGAAAGTGCATTTAGTAGTTGTGGTTTACATTAACTGAGTATCAAAAATGACCATGCACACAGGGAAAAGGTGGCTGTCCTCAAAGTGCTATTTTTGGCCACACAGATTTTACATGAGGCTAGCCATTTTTAAGATCTCAGCAAATAATGCAGCCACATGTGTGAACCTGGTATTGTGTTTTAAAGTTTCCTACAAATACTCTGATTGTAGGATATATACATCAAAAATGAATTCTACAAAAAATATAAGAACAATTCTTACAGATCCTTGTTCTAGTAAGAAAAACTGAATTTTAAAAATAGTATTTTTTATAGTTAAATACTCAAAATTTACTATGCCATTAAAAATATATATCCCTATGCAAAATTTTGAACAGTTAACTTGTCATAAATTCAAAGATAAATTTACAGTATTTTGTGGTTTGACAAGACATAAAAGCCAAGATACGAAAACTTCAAAGAAAAAGATCTGCAAGTAAATTTGGATCCAAATTATCTCAGGAAGAATGAAAACATGTATACAGTCTTTCTTTTGGAAGTAGCAGCAAGAAGTTCATGTAGGTGAAATGCACACACTAACAGATTTACATGTCTTATTTGTTAAATGTGCTTCTTCTGCCAACAGCCAATGAAGTATCTCCACTTGGATGTCTCAGAGGCCAAATTGCCCCAACCACTCATCATTTCCCAGAGCCCAGGTAGAATGCTCATTTACTTGCTGAAGCTAGATATCTGATGTTGTTCTTAACTCACTCTTCCTCACCATCCCAACCCAATCATAGAGCAAATCATGAGGACACTATCCAAATTTGTTTTTCTTCACCCCTACTGCCACAATTCCAGGTCAGATTATCATTATCACTCACTGAGTAATTCCTTTGTAAGTGTGATCAAATGTGTAGCTCTTTTCCATTGCCTGGATTCTCCCTGGGGGGAAAATATATCTATTATTTTTAGGTTAGCCTGGATGCTATCTGTAGAGATTAATGTAGTCAGAAGAGAATCACAGGAGTAATAATACAAGATAAAATTGCTAGCTTTAGAGTTGAAATTTTATTATGAATTTCTACTCCAGAATATTGATTTCATGAACCACAAAAACCTTAATGATCATCACATTTTAACATACTGATTATTTAAAAAAAAAACAGAACTAAGATATTAAACAATATTATTTGATATTGACTTTAAAGTAACTTGAAGATGTCTGTCCTTATGTACAATCTAGGCAGCCAGAAACTAAAACATATAAAACTTATATGAAAAAGACTTAAAAGAAAAAAGGGGGAGTGTATGACCAGGAGAAAAATTAAAAAATAGATTTACCGGAATGCTTGGTTCAGAGTTTGATAATGAAAATGTTCTGGTGCCAGTCCTATGACCACAGCATTAGGATCATTTGTTTGTATTCCTATGAGTAGAAAAAAAAAAAACTGTTAAAAACTACAAAATTAAAGGGAATGCCACATTTTATAACAAAGTAGTTTTAATCAACTAACTGGACATTTTTGCTCAGCCATAATTTGAAGTTTAAGAGATTGTCTTGCCAGTATACTTTGAAAGTGAAAGAGAAAGAATTAAAGGCAAGAAAGTGGAAAGGGCTACTAATATTTTTCCATATTCCCTATACATGGTTTCATAGCTACTTAGTAACTGAAGTGAAAATGGTAACTTGATGTTCTCAAGCAAGTAATTTCTAACTTCAAAATGCTTTACTGATTACAATCAACAAGAACAGCTACGAGTTCCTTAGGAGCCAGCAGATCAATAGCAACTGATGAGGAATTGAGAATCTAAGAGGCAAGGGAAATTAGACTTTCTAATTGACACTGTCAAGGTTAACACATTCATGATGAATATGGAAAGTACTGCAGATTCTACAGTTTTATACATGAGGCCTCATCCACTTTTCAGAATGTTTTTTTTTTTTCTTTTGTGGTGTTGGGGATTGAACCCAGGGCCCTGTGCATGTGAGGCAAGCACTCTACCAACTGAGCTACATCCCTAGCCCTCTCATCTACTTTTAGTTTCACACATTTTACAATTAAAGCATGTTGTAAGGCCTTGGTATCTGATATCAGGATGTCAGATACGACAACTAAACGTGCACACTCACCATACAGTTTTTCAAAGTCTGATTAAAAGTTCTGTGGATTATCCATATACTAATTCCTATTTGCCTCTCTTATTGCCTGCAGATGCCCAAGTTTTCCAATTTCCTCCTTAGAAGTTGCCACAAGTATTGAGAAGTTGGTTAAATTGTTGAAGGAACAAAGTAAAATTGTTGTCCACAGTAAGAATTAAAGGGTTTTGTGGGTACACGTGTGTAAAATTTTTTTATTATCTATATCCACCACTGGAGCAAAGATGCTCCAGCAAAGTTATCTCCATTCCCTTCAAAAATCCATCTACTTTGGCAATTTTTATGTATATAGAAATGTTGCAAGTATAGTCCTAGACTGAATGATAGATTTCTTTCAGACCAAGGAGAAGTAGAAGCTTATATATCCCAATTCTAGCTCAAATTTGGAATAAAACTTGTAATATTTCTTACCTATCTGAAAACAAGAAGAAAAAAACCAGATTAAAACATTGTTCTGTAGTCCTTCAGCTTGTCCAGAAACATAAATATGTAGACTGTAGGAAATACTTGTCATTATTTTTGGTTGCCCAGTTTCTTCATGCCATTCTCACAATTAGGGAACTCACCAGCTCATTTGGAGTGCTAAGGGGTGGAGCTTACTCTCACAACAGAGGCTGAGGATACCAGAGGCTTTCTATACTTCCTTGGCACCTTGTCAGTTCTGTGGGCAATGGTGTACATTGTTCTGGGCTAACCTTGGCAGTTCAGTGGGTCACCTAAACAGCTTTTTGTTTTGTCTGTCATGGAAATTTCAGAGAGACTAGCGTTATAAATTCTGATATACCACACAGCACCCAGCTTTTGCAACCATCAATATTTTGCCAATCATCCCCTACAATTTTTTTTGCAAATATTTATAAAACAAATACCAGATATTGTGTCATTCTACTCATTCATACTTAAGTATGTATCTAATCAATAAAGACTTTTTAAAAACCGTAACATTATTACATAAAAAGTGAATAATTTTTTAACATTACCCAATACTTAGTCTGTATTTGAATGTCTCAAAATGTCTTTTGGTATATTAAACTGGCATCCCAACAAGGCCCAATGTTGCATTTGATTTTTATCTTTTATTTCTCATTCTAAAATGTCATTCCTTCCCTTTATTGGAAAAATTAGATCATTGGTTCTGGAGAAGGCCCCATATTCTGGATTTGGCTGATTATTCACAGTATAATGTGTTCCTTTACCCTGATCTTTCTTGCATACTGGAAATTAGATCTAGAGTCTTCATTGATTCACATCTACTTTAAAAAAAATATATATATATATATATATATTAAAAAATTGTAGATGGACATAATACCTTTATTTTATGTGGTGCTGAGGATGGAATACAGTGCTTCACATCGGCCAGACAAGTGCACTACCACTGAGCTACAACCCCAGCCCTGTCACATCTACTTTTTAGGAAGTTTATTTCATAGCCAATGTGATACATTTCTTATTATATTACATCATGAAGCACAAGAATTATGGTTATTCTCCTTCTAGTGATATTAAGGTTGATCACCAGATGCCTCCATTTGAAGATCCCCATCAGCCCTTCAGCTGTGCTATAAAAACAATTGATGATATTCTCTATTTCCTTGCCAAATGGTGACATTCTAATTCTGTCATTTCTTTTGCATTTCCTGGCTGGAATTCTACTATAAAGAAGTTACCCTCAACAAGTATTTGGTTACCCTAAAATACAGCTCAAACAGGGAAGATTAGGAAAAATACTTAATTTGTCAACTTTCAGAGTAATGAGTTACTGCCCTAGCAGTCTCTAACAGTGACCCATTAGTTTTGTGGGGCTGAGCATCACTTTGAACTCATGCCTTTTTATATATGTATTTCAATCCCCTGCAATCATTACTCTTTTTGATGCTCAAATTATCATTTCAGGTTTGCTCCAGAGTTCTTTAGACATGATCTCATCAATCTTAGTAGTTTCCTTGCTTATATTAGCTTTTTATATTAAAAGCTAAGCTAGAACTATAGTGAGAAATAATAGTAGGCACCATAGTCTGAGCACTGGGTTGTCACTGCTTCTAATGTTCTCAGTAGAAGCTCTAGATGAGATGTATTTTTTCAGTAAAAGAATAAAGGAGTTAGTAATGAAATTTTCAATTTAGTTAGGAATACTCAGCTTTTAATTTACTTGATTATTTTATATTTGTATCTCCTTTTTATTATTTTTTTGTAATTTTTACTTACATTTAAAATCTTTGAGTCATAACTGAACTAACAGTTACTACTTTGTTTTATCCATATCTCTAATTTAAAAAGTTATAATACCAATATTACTAAGAACAATAAGACTACTGAACATAGTTCAAGCTTTCTTTGCAGTTGTTTTGACCTTAAAAATTTATCCCAAAATAAATGAACAGGTCAAAACACTGTCAAGTCATATGAAGTAATTCTTTCTGAGTGGTTACATCACCAACTTGATGTAGAGTTAAGCTCATTTTAGAGAAGGTTCTTCTCCTGACCCCCTCCCTACCTTCCCTTCCCCTTTAGATAACCATTTTTAGTATTCTTTCATTTATCATTCTTTGGCTTCCTTTTACCAATATAAGACAAATATATATATATATTTAATTTCCCTCTGATTTTCCTAAACAGAAAATATTAAGGTTTTCTATACCTCACTTTTTCACTTAATATATCCTATGAAGATCACTCATCACATCATTCATATCAGGAGAGAGAACTCTTTGTCATTATTTATTTTTCAGATACAAAGCTTTCCATTTTGTGTCTATACCATAGTTTATTCAACCAGTCCCTTCCAATGAACAGTTGGGTTGTTTTCAATCTTTTGTTATTATAAATAAAGCTATAATGAATAACTTTGTTCATATGTCATTGTATGGTTTTGTAACTATATCTCAAGATAGATTCCACCAATTACTGTTTCATATGTAATTCTGTTAGCTACTATCAAATTCCTCTCCATAGGAGCTGTGTTATTTTATATTCTCATCAGTAGTAAGATCCTCCTAATACATTTATTGCCAGTTAATTCAGCCAAAGTTGGTTTCTGTTTCTTACAAGTAATAATTCTAATTGATACACTGGTATATTTTTCCATAGTACAATTGTGGAGGTCCTACTCCACTGTATATACAACTAAGCTTCCCTAATCATTATCTGTAAAGTTATCACGTGATATTTTTAGCAAACATATTCATATCTATTTTTCTGTCATTCCGATCTGAGTATCAGCTACAAAAAAGAAGCAACGTGGCAAAGCTTCATAAAGCTATGACATTTTTCTAGTCTGTCTTTTGAAAGCAATTTTATTTTTTCTTGGTTGAAAAATACTTTGCACTATATAATCTCTATACTATCCAGCATGACATCTATTTTTAAATGAGGAGATTTTGGTTTACCTTACTTAACCAAGTTTAGAGAGGGGCTCTGGGATTGAGGGTTATAATACTCAAAATAATGCTGAACTTTTTTTTTTTTTCCAAACTGGGGAGTCATGATCCATCAATAGATCATGAAACAAATTTGGAGAGCTCTAAGTAACATCAAAGTCAAACAATTAAGTACAACAAATGGAAAATAAAGCATACTTCATATAGTAAGTAACATGAACACACACACACACACACAATATTACTATACAATGTGTTTCCCTTATTGTAGATTATGGTCAAAAAAGGTTTGAGAAAAACCAATTCAGATTTAAACTCCTTATCCATACTGTCAACCATTTCAATAACAGATGGAAATCAGAAAAAACACTCCTTATGAATGATTTTTAAGTAGTTATGACTAATTTTTAAAATTTTTCCAACTTTCTCCCACCTTTGAAATCAGGTAATGCCCGATCATCAACCAGCAGCATGGGCCTGACTTGCTTCTGCTCTACTAAACTTCTGGCTGCAGTCAGAGATGTGAATATTTCATCTTCAGAAATATCAAACTCCAGTTTTTTCAACCTTTCCAAAAGATCTTGCTTGCTTTCTTTGGTTGTATTGGTCACAAACCTAACAATTACAGAAGAACTACGTAACCTGGAAAAGGAAAATTCAGGAATCAATGGGAAGTTTTTAATATCCTCGTCCCATAAAACCTTATAATTTGGTAGAACTGTGCCAAATGTCAGAAGATAAAAGTTACTATTTTTATGGATAAAAAGTTCTTTAGTTTTTGTTTTTTCTTTTGCCTAGAAAGCTTATAAATTATCTACATCCTGTGGGCAGTTATCACCTCTAAAAGCAGCAAAGTCAGACAGAAAAGGTTACTTTTACCTTTTTTTGAGGCCTTCTGTACTTTGTATATACTGCAAGGTTTAGTAAACAAGTGAAAAGCCACACTGTACTCAACACAGTATAAGAGGTGAATGTTATCTTAAGAGATTATCTACTGGTACAACCTTTTCTTTGTTAAAGAGAGAAAACTGAGGCCTAAGAAGTGACCTGTTAGCTTTATACAGCTAGGAAGCATAAGGGCTGAGACAGGAATCTTCTGTGTCCTGGGACAATGATCCACCTATATTAAGACAATAGATGCCTCAGGATTTTATTAGACACTGCCTAAGCCCTAATGAGTTATTAAATTTATAAACAGAAACTACCTGGACAACTCGAAAAGACATTCTTTTTTTTATATATCAAAAGAGGTTCTCCCCTTGAACAACTTACATGCAAGATTAATTTGATTCCATGGCCTGCTTTTGAAACAAATTGGCATGATATCAGAGAAATAATTCATTTAGCCTTCTTTAAAAATGGAAAATTTTTTCTTGTTTTACAATGTTTCAATTCAAAAATCTAAAAATAATTTGAATTTAGTTTTAATTTAGAATTCTTTATTAACATCCTGTTGCTTTTTATTTAAATCAATCCCCCAAAAACCATAAGGCATGAAAGTACTAACCAAGCCAAATAAAGCAGAAAAGAGATTTCTATGTATTTGCCTAAAGAGCATTAAATACATTTATGATTACATAATTCACTGTAATCATGATTACCTCTATAACATCTGTGTGGCAGCTTTTCTACAAAACACATTAAATTTGGTGGTTTACTTTACAAAAGAAATTGATTACTTCTACATAGCTATTATCCTAAAAATGAGTAAGTATGAAATAACCACATCATTTTTAATGAGTTTCTTTAAAAAACTTTTACTAGTCCCTCAACTTTCTTTAGTCTATTTGTTTCTATAGAAACCAAACTGGCAGTACCAGTACAGTGACTTCTCCAGGAGGGAAACCTGCCAGTGCCTGTGACAGAATGTGTCGGTTCCTGCCCCTAAAGAACGGCAACACTCAGAGTTTACAGAGCTACTTTAGAAATGTCACTGTTCACCAAAAATACTTCTTGCAGTCCAGAGCAGAAAGCTCATTTTTTAAAGCAGTAAGAGCTCTGTCCACAGGAGCAGATTCATCAACAGAGATCCATCTTTGTTCCCAGAAAGCCTGACTCTGAGCAAGAGCATGTCAAGCAGTGAGAGAAAATACAGCTGTGTGTCTGATTTCTTTGGGCTTTAAGCAATACACTCACTGTTCATCATTTTTCTACCTGTAAAATGTCATCATAACTCCTAACGAAATTGATACACAAATCTGTTTGTATTTCTTGGTTCTCCAAATGGAAAGTAACCTCTCTGGGAGAATACAAAGTCTTGTGTCAATCTTTTGCCTAACTCCTAGTGCTGTGATACTTGACATCAGATTTTCTGATTAACAGCATATAGTGAAGATTTTAAGGTTGGAAAATGATAGGCACCAAATGCTAAGTATTGCTGATTTTGAAAACCTCCCTAATTTTTTTCTTTTAGGATGAAGATGCTTAATGCCAGTTATTTATTCTGTTTTGCTGGCATTTTTTTTTTTCAGGAGAACTAGAAGCAAACATACACATTCAGTTCACTTGAACATGCTTTTATTGTATATCCCATAGAATTCCAAGTCCCATAATCAAAATTTATTTGAGCACATTCAATGTTAGATGTTAGGTAAAGCTAGAGGGGGCAGAAAATGCCTTGTATGTGAGTGTGCTACATTTTGATTCCAGAATTTATTTGTGACTTTTCTAATGCTACTTATTTCACATTTTAGAAACTTGAGTTTTCATTCCTGAATTTACATTACTGACTTAGAAAGATACACACAAAGAACAAAGGGACTACAGCAAAAGTCCAGACCTAATAAAGGGTTAGACAATGATGTTCAAAGGATATTACAATGCATACATCTTCTCGCTAAACCCAAGGCAGTTCCTAGATATACGGTAAGCTGGTGAAATGCCATCTTAAGGCCATCCATTTAGCTAATGATCTGCCTTGGTAAAATGGCACTTACAAACATATTTGTCAGCTGAACCTGGAGGATAGCTTGCCTTTTAAGAGCTTCCTGTGCGCCTGGCACAGCTGCATCTTCAATGTGAAGTGTGCCATTGAGATCTACCAAAACAGCTTTTAATGCACGGCGAACTGCCATCATTCATTCCCTAGGAGAGAGCAAATGAAATTAAAAATACAGCTTCAGAAACAATGGACAATTAAAAACTGATAAGTCTTCAAAAATGTCATTCACATCCAGAAAGATATTGCTTAGTGTTAAGCTGCTTGCCTTTGGAAAAAGAAATGTTTTTTAAAACCAAAAACTCAAAATTTGATCCATAAAACTTGTGTAATGCTTACTTTAAAAAGGTTGAATTACATCTATAGAAAAAGAAATGATACAAGAGATATTATTGCTTACTTTCAGGTTTCTTAAAGTAATTCTTTGATGAATAATTATTTTAAAACATGAGAATGATGTGTTTGTTCTGAAGAATGGGTGGTAGAAGCACGACTTCAACAAGACCTTCCTCATCATGAGTTATGTATAATTAAAAATATTCTAATTGCCCATCTCCACTGCTATGTCCCCAAATGGCACATGTGGCTAAGGAGCTACCAGTATTTACGGGTCACCAAGGAAGAAATTTCAAGTTTCATAGCAATTTTAAAGTAAGGAGATATTTCCATTGCCTTACAATCTACAACTTTCCTTTTGCATATTTTCCATTTAGATAATTTCTATTGTGAGCTATAGCATCTATAGAACATAAGATAAATGTGGTTTAAAGATAATAAAGCGTAGGCAAGAATAGCATGGGAGCTAATGAAAAAGGATGGGATTGATTTATACTTTTAAAAAACTAACCCATTTATTCAGTCATTTCTTTTTCTTATTTGGCTGTTTTTATAAGGAAGTATGTTACACATACCAAAAAGTAGAAAGGATGTTACAACAACTCCATTTCCCCATCATTCAGCTTCAGAAATGAGGCAGATAAAGCTGGGGTCTTCCCTATACCTCCTCTCACGCACTGCCATTCTTTCCCTTCCCACAGTAGCCACCCTCCTGACTTTTATATATTCAAAGCTTTATACTAAGGATACTTGGTGTACACTTGGCAACTTGCTTTATCACTCAACATTATCTTTGTGAGATGTGTATATGCTAGCATACGTAGTTACATTCATATATTTTCACTGCTGTATGGTATTCTATTGTATAAATACACCCTAACTTATTTATCTGCTCTCCTAATCATGAACATTCAGGTAGTCTTATATACCACAAAGTGCATCTGTAAACACCCTTGCACACATCTCCTGGTGGACACACGCGTGAGCATTTCTCTGGGGTCTTGCTGGGTCTTAAGGTGGACGCTCATCCTCACCCTATTGTTAAGTTGCCTTATTCATTTGGATCCTTATAGGGCAAATGTTTACTAAGCACTTACTATGTGTTTAGCTCTGGTATAATAGCAAAGCTAGAAGAGCCACCTCCTTTAAAATTAGGAGCAGAGGGAAAGGATTAAAGTCGGTTAGAAAAAACCTGGGAGGTGGAAGCAGACAATTACCAAAGATTTGGGAGAAATGTTCTGGGAAGAGTTTTTGAGTAGTTTACGAAAGGAATCTTCCGTTGGGACAGAAGATGGGTGGGAGGAAGACCTCTCCTGCCCAACTCTCTCTCTCTGAGATGCGTTTGAGGGTTTGCAGCCAGCAGTTATTAGGACTAGGGATTGGTCCAGGTTCTGCCTCAAATTCATTATTTGTGGATGGCCAAGTTTACCCTCTCTGGGCCTGTGATTCTCCTTATACAGGAACAAAGGCAGGATGAAGCTTTGAGCTTTACCTATTGCTTAGGAGTTCTGAGTTGGAAGAATCAAGGTGTGGCATGACTCCCCAAATCCCTAATTTTCTCCTCTTCAACATGGGTTTGCTAATCCCCTTAGGACCAACTTCCCAAGGCTGCCAGGAAAACTCCAGATCGAACTGTGCTATCCTTTGAAATAACTGTTTTCCCTTACATTCAGTCCTGTCAACTTAGAGGGATAGCAAAGATGACCCCTGATTTCTTCACAGCTTCTGGCTTTTAGCATTTCTGCTAAACATTGTTCCCAGACCCTGCTCCCATTCCAGTCAGCCATCTCCCCCCAAACACAGAGAACAAACATACAAAATAAAACCACCATCAACCTCAGAACAGAAGCAAACTGCTGGAAAGTACTGGCCAATGATTAGTATCACACTATACTCAACAATTTTTTTCTAAATAAATTAAACAACCACATGTTTAAGGTAAAACAAACTTTCAGACGGGAGAGTATTTTCATGACTTGAGGACAGGACAGGCTATTTAAAATAAGATGTAAAAGCAGAAACCATAAAGGAAAAGACAGATAAATTCAACTATGTTTCAACTATGTATAAACAGAATGTGAATGAAAATATTCAGAACCAGTGTTTAACATGTAAGAAAGGACAAGACTCCAGGAAATACAAACTATAATTATAAAGAAAAGGACAAATGACCAGAGGGAAAAATGGAGTAAGACCTCAACATACACTTTATGAAAGAACACAACTGAGCTCTGTCTCTCTGCTTCCCCTCTGCTAAGAGCTACGAAAGGAATCTTCCGTTGGGACAGAACATGCTTTGCCCTTCTGCCATGATGTTTCTGCCTTGGAGCTGGCCATCATGGGCTGAATCATCTCACTGAAGCACAGAGCCTACTGGATGAATGCCCCTGTGTCCCAGTCAATAGGTCCAATGAAGGTCTTGGCTGATGGCCAGAACCAACCATCAATCACTAGATATGTATATGAGCTTCAGATGATTACAGCCCCAGCCATCAAACCACCAGCCCTAAGCAAGGTGGAGTTGAGTAGAGTCAAGCTATCCCTGCTGAGTACTGCCCAAACTGCAGGCTCATGAGTAAAGGAAACAATAGGATTGTTTAACGATAGCTTGGAGATGATTTGTTTATCGGCAATAGAGAAGTACAGTGCTCTGGGTGATTCCTTAGCTTGCTCTGAGAATCCAGTGTCTGGATAACTGTGTAAAGATCTCGGGGAGGCCAGAGGGCCAGATCCTAATAGTAGTGATGGCTTTGCATTTTGGGCAAGTTCTTATTGGTTTAGAGCATCTCTCGCGGGAATGTGGGGCAGAACAAATCTCATTAGTAAATAACATGAAGATGCTCAAAATTCACTCCAAATAAAGAGAAATGCATATTTAAAGCACAATGAGATCACCACACCAAACCAACAGACATGCAAAATTATTAAGTCTGAAAATACAACATATTGTCAACAGGAATTCACAGATCCTGATACCATTATAAACATTTGGGAAATTAGTTTGGCAACACTAATACTCTACAACACAGCAATTCCACTCCCAGATATTACAAGTTTGAAGGACTCTCTCACTTAGTACCATGAGACAGGAACAAAACGTCCACAGCAGTACTGCTGGTAAACAGCCAGAAACTGGACACAACACTAATGTCTACCAGCAACAGAATGGGTAAATAAATTGTGGCACATCCATGTATAGAATACCAAAAGCAATGGAAATGAATGAAGTAAATTTACACACATCATCTTAGACAATTCTCAGAAATCAACCATAGAATATGTCACAAAATGATTCACATGGTATGGTTTCCTATAATATTAAAAAATAAGGATGAACAGATAGGCAATAACATTAAAAAAAGAAGGAAATGAGTATCAAAAAGTTAAGATAGTGACTTTCTCTGGGAGACGGGGAGCAAGTGCAAACCAGGAGGAGTACAAAGAGACCCTCTAAGGTCTGACAATGTTTTACATTTCAATCTTTATAGTGAGCGCATAGGTGTTTTTAATTTTACTATAATTACTAAAAATTACAGCTATAGATTAGATACTTTTGTATAGATGATATATATTTCACACAAAAAATAGTCTTATTATGTTTTAGTCAATCATTTCTATATTTACATAACTGTATTATAAAAATTAGTCTGGACAATTATTATACACTTGGCATAAAAAACTCCCACTCTCAAGTCATTGTGAATTTTAAGAAAAACCTTGATTTTACTTGTTTTTTATAATGTCTCTGCTGAAAAAGAAAAAAAAAAAGTGCTGAGACAAAAAAAAAAGATATAGGAGCTTTAGTTAATCAAGTTTCAACTACAAAATCATCCCTTTTACAATAGTCCTTATGTTATTCTATTCATGATCTTTATTGTGACCTTGAAATCAAGGATTATATCAACAATGGCATCAACTGTTTCCTGCCTGAGTGGGGAAACAGCTTGCAAGTCAAAAGCCAAGACTGTTTCCAGGGTCTTCATTTGGATGTTTATCAGTTAAAGGGTTCTTTAATTTAAAATATGCTAATTGCACCACAAAAAAAGATGAACAAAATGAAGACATAGCACTGTCATTTCATATAAGGAGGAACATAAAATTGCTTTTCTCAAAACCCAACTTTTATGAAACACTTAATATTCAATAAAAACTTTTTTATTGAAACACCTAAAAGGTGCTATAAAATCACCCAAAAGTGAATAAAAGAACAAAATAGGAACAAGACTGAAAAATAACAGTAAGAATTATACTTTATTAAAATAAAGATCCAAACTGTCCAACTACTGCCAAGGAACTGTCCTAATAAATTCTGATAGTTTTAATCCTTACTAAAAGCATTCACATAGACATAATGTTTCCAAAACATTAAAAAAAAAAAAAAGGCCTATGTTCTTTGTCAGTCCCAAAGATCATTCTTTTTAAACTCTAAAATGGCTCTTTTGAAACATCACATATTTGACAGTGATTGACCAAGACCTAGAACAAAACTCTGGTATACCACTAGAACTTCAAAATTCATTTACTTTTCTAGGTGATCTCACAAGCTCTCAACCATTTCCGCCATGATCTGTATTCTCAGCCAAACCATTGTTAATACTCATTACCTGAACCATGAATCAGTGTTTGGTAAAATATATAATTATGCTTCAGTATCCCCAGGGAATTGGTTCCAAAGTCAACAGAAAGCTCAAGTCCCATATACAAAGTGGTATATAGTATCTGCACGCAACCTATGCACATCTTCCTGCAGAATTTAAATCATCTCTTGATTACTTGTAATACTTAATGCCATGTAAATAGTTGTTATATTGTTTAGGGAGTAATCACAAGAAAAAGTCTATATGTATTCAGTACAGTTTTTTTTTTTTTTTTTTTTTGGGGGGGGCGGGGAAGAGTTTTGTTCTGTTGTCAACTGAATGTGTGGTTTCATAACCTGCAGATATGGAGGGTCACCTCTTAATTATAAAATATCAGTATTATCCTCAAAAGAATTATAAAGGCTTCAAAGGTAGTCCATGTTTTTCATTTCTCTTGGGTCCACATCTACCATTTCTCATAGTTTGAATGAATTATATGGAACATCCCTTAGAAGAGCCATAAACAACTGATGGTACCTGCTCAATGCAAAGAAAAGTGTATTCCCTTGCATCCCAAGAGGAACTCTTCCAAGTACTTCAGAGGACAGCTGTCCCATGTATATCCCAAGGGCATCTTAATCCAACAAAGCTGCTTTCGTTTTCCTGCAATCTCTACGAACAAATGACAGCACCAGCAATCCAACGCCAAATCACTTCAGTCTTGAATCTACTTACTCTTCATCATCTTTACTAAAACTACCTCAGGTTTGAAATCATCTCTTGTCTAACCTGTCAACTTCCTAAATGTTTTCTGTTTTCCATCTCCTATTTCCAGCCAGGAATCCATTCCCTGGAATGCAATAGTGTAGCAAAGTACAAGAACAATGGAGGTAAACTCCTGGGTATGAAACCTGACTCTCTAGCTATGTGAATTTAGGCAATTTCCTTAATCTCTCAGCCTGTTTCTTTATTGCTAACATAGAAAAACACCTCTAATAACTGAAAAGAGTATTATAGAAATTAATCCCTGTAAATTACTGTCAACAGTGTTCCATGCTTAGAAAAGGGTGGGTTATGTTTTTGGCGGGTAGGGGAGAAAAAGCACATGATGATGTTTCAAGGGCTACAAAAATCACAGACTAAATATAATGCAAGGGCTGAGAGCATTAGTACAACCTGAGAATTCCAGAGGACATCAATATAAATATGTTCAGGGGCATATAATTCAAAATTTGTGTAAATACTTAAGATAAAACAAGAAATTTTAAGAAAAATATTCTCTTGGGAGGTTGAAGCTCTTCAGAATATGCCTCCTAGATGCTCTAGGGAGTAAAAATTCCCTTTCCTTCCCTGTATGGTACACAAAAGCCTAGAATCACTGTAATCAGTAAATGTCGTGTTATTCAGTTACTCCCCAGTTCACTCTTCCAGTCACTCCCTAATGCCCTCAGGCTAAAGTGTGAACAGCATACACTGGAGTACAGAGTCCTCTTCTCCAATTCACTTCCACACCCAGATTCCATGGCACTGTAATTGGGGTCCACTTTATGCTCTGAGTTAAAAACCTTGCTGCTCAACCTTGGGTGACTTATTTTAAAACTGATTTTACTTTTTCTTCTTCCCCCTCCCTTTCCCGAGCAGTTGGGGAAAACAAGACTAACATTTTTTCCCACCCAGGCTACAATGTCCTTTGCTGCCTGGAAAGTGTCACTGCCCACAAGAATAAACTCCAAACCTGGGAACTGGAACAAAGGCTCTCTCAAGGATACTTGATGGACACTAATTAACTACATATCTACTGATAACATTTAGATCCCGGTCATTGTGTTTCTCTTTTAAAAGCCCTGTGTTCCCACTGACAGGGAGACTCAGTCTCTGGGAGGCCCCGCCTTTCCTCTTTGCTAGCAAATCAATACATCTTTTTCTTTTCTTTCAAACCCTTGTTGTAGTGAGACTTTCGGGTATCTGCAGTGCACCTCCCCCATCAATGGACTTTTATCTGAAATCACTTTTAGTCCCTAAATACTACCACTCCTACCCCACTCCATCCTCCTTTCCCTCTGGTCAATTCCTTTTCTTCTGGGTAGGGTTAGGTGCCGCAAATGGTCCCACTGTCAGCATCATTCTATCCTGGTTACCTGCCTGGCCCTCTTCTATGAGCTCTGCACAAAGGGACTATGTTGCCATTTCCACTGCATCACTTAAACGCTCAATAAAAGTGGACTGAATTCATGAATCTAATCTTCGGAGCTGTAAGGACCTAAGACTAAGGATCCTCCAGTACGAACCAACATCGATACCCCGCGCCCCGTCCCCAATCCCCGTCTACTGCGGGGAAGGCGCTTCAAGCCCCGCCACTGCAGTCACCACCGAGTGGGAGACACCGCGCACTGCACGTGCCTGAACCGCGCACGCGCAGACGGCCGCGACCTAGGGGCTGCTGCCACCGGGTGTGACGTCCTCCCAGGTCGGGCGCGCAGTTTGGGTTGGGCCCGGCCTGGAGGGAGGGCAGTGGTCTAGGGACGCCGTCGGTATTTTCCCAACCCTGTCACAAGAAATGCCGCTTCCAACAGGCGTGCCGCCACCGTTCCTAATTCCACTTTTCTCTTCCGTTCCGAGCAGCTCCTCACCCCCACTCCGCGTGCGGTCGTCAAGAGCCAACCCAGCCGCACAGTCCGAAGGGCACCGCAACCCGTCTCACGCGCCAGCAGCCGCCCAAGGGACACCGGACACTGGGCGCGGGCCGCGCCGGAAGTCCCGCCCCAGGCTCCTCCCATCCGGCTGGGGCTCGGGGCCTGAGACTCCCAATGCCGGGGGTCTCCACCAAACCGCGCCCGGGGAAGAGGGGACGTTGTTTTAAGGGTCCGCTCAAGCAGGGGCGCGGCCGGTTGGGTCCGGATGCACCACGGAAAACAAAACCTCTGCCTTTGCTCAGGAGCCGTTTTCCATCTCACAGACCATTGCTAACCAAGTATTATTGGGTAACAGTCTCTGCTTGCTTCATTTCTTGTGCATTCCCGAGGGCTAACTCAGAACTCGCCTGCAAGACACTTTCCATGAAACATCCAGTGTCCAAGTTGTCATTTCCTCCTTTGCTACTTGAACAGCATCTGGCATTTATTGCTGTCTCCATTACCCACCATCACAGGCAAGACACCAGCCATGGTTTCCCACACCAGCCATTCCATAACGTTGCTGGCAGCTTTCTCACCCTTCTGCTTTCTCTCCTCGGGCTTCACCTGCCGGTTCGCAGGGGAGCAAGATTTCAGAGGTAAAACAGAAATTTGTGATACGTTAGATTGGGGGTAAGGGAGAGGAAGGCCTTAAAATAATCTCTAGGTTCCAGGCTTGAGCAAATAAGTGCGGGGTCACTGACTATGTTATCTGGACTTAACTGCTTCCTCTTCAAAAGGCTTTTCTTGTCAAAGGGCAAGAAGAGCAATGAAAGGATAGGACCTCAAAAAGGAAAGGCTAAATTTGGAAAAGAGATGGGGCAAAAACTACAAAGGAGTGGAGACATAAAGCAGTATATGAGCCAGGTATGGTGGCACACGCCTGTGATTCCAGGGGCACGGGAGGCTGAGACAGGATGATTGTGAGTTCAAAGCCAGCCTCAGCAATGGCGAGGCACTAAGTAACTCAATGAGATTCTGTCTCTAAAAAAAATACAAAATAGGGCTGGGGATGTAGCTCAGTGGTCAAGTGCCCCTGAATTCTATCCCCATTATCCCAAAAAGCAAAACCAAAACAGTATATGAACTAAAGTAAAAACAGTATGTATGATTCCAAAACTTATTTTGATCATTATTAATACCCTTGGACTAGTCCATGGTGTCCCAGGTCATTGCAAATAATGTTTTCATAACATGATATCTAATGAACAATTGGAGCAAGGGAATTTTTGGTAAAATAGTTATATTGTTGCATATCAAAACTATTTTGGTAATAACCTTTAAACTAATAAATCAATGAGAAAGTGATTTACTTCACCAAAACCATTTTACTTCGGGTGGACAACTCTTTATCTTATCTTTCACTGAAGATATCAAAGATTGGTCAAAAAAATTGGTCACAAATTTTTCCCCATATGAGGGTCCAGTGCTGTTCAGAAAGCAAATTTAAAGATGAGGCAACCCTTAAATTACTGAGATCTTAGAAAGTCTGTTTGCATTGAGTGAAATGGTAAAAAGGTTTTGCTTGGCATTAGTAATATTCTATTATTTTTTACTATTCACATATATTGCTTTCTCTCATTTTGAGTGCATACACATATAAACCCAAGTGACTGCCTGTACCTAATGAACACAGACCACATTTTCTACTCCTGATAGATCTAAAGCTAGAATTTAAAAAAAAAAAAAATACTTTTAGCCATATTTTTGAGAATTTAGAATTTTGGAGAATATCTTGAGAAGCTTGGAAGGAAGAGGGGGCTAAACAGTGGGCCTTTGGAACCCAGCCAACTTCAACTAAAAATGGGTCTGCCTTCATGTTTTAAATATTATAGTTCTATTTTGGAATTTCTTTGTAAATCTGATTCTGCTGTTTATAACCAAAATTTGAAAACTGTACTTGATTAAGGATTAGGGTATAGATTTTATTAGTATCTACAGAGTACAGCCAAGGCTCTTCAAATAGTTCAGAGGCACAAAGACATAAGGCCTGAACACATAAAGACCACAAACATGATATTTGGAGTTCAGAATGATCACAAATTTGTTAATCCTGAGATAAGGGGGAAGATGTAAGCAGGCAATCCGGCACTTAAGTTACAGTCTCCTAAAATAAGATCCTATGGTTTCTGATTTCTAATTGCTCTGGAAAATCAGGACCACTACCTGAAAGTATGTTGATTTCCTTTTGGCCACATTAAAACTGGGATTGTATAAGTGGCCTCCAGAGGTGAATCATTTTGATGTCCAGTGCTTACTTTCAACTACTTTGCTGCAGAATACTCAGACCCTGCCTCGCCATGATTGCTCCTCAGTGGAGTGAAGACTTGGGTAATATCCTGACACTAAATTAACATGAAGGTGTGGTGTGTTGTAATGTCTTACATGAAAAACGGCATCAGACCAAAGTCTCTTTTCTCTTTTAAATAAAATTTGTATGATTCATGGTATGTGGAAAATGAGAATGCCTTCAACTGGTTTTTTAAAAATTTGTTTAGAGGCTCAAATTTGACTCATACACCAATTCTTTGTTAAGCTGAAAGAACATCACCTCTAAGTCTCAAATATGTTAGTTATTTATATGAAGTAAGTATCAACTAACATTCCTTGGTAGATTTTCTTGGTCCAGCTGCAGGGCCACATTCCAAGCTAAAGATCATCCATCTCTAACTCAGGTGTCACCAATAGGTAATTCAATACCACCTGCTCTATGGAGCAGGTTTTGGAAATAACTTAAGTCATGGAATAATACCCATTAGATCTGGTGATTTATGCCAGCAATTCAGGTAATTCACTAAAGGAAAAAAATGGATTTTGAGTGTTTACTTTCATTAAGTCTACACTCAGCAAAGAACACTTAAGAGATATTACACACAAAACAGAACATTCTGTTCCCCCTTCCTCTTCTCTTGTATATTCAGCAGAGACCAAAACAGAAGCTCTAGACCTTGAGTATCTCAGAAAGGTATAATAGAAGAAAGTCTGAAGACTAAAGTGTTAAGACACTGCTTGTCTCTCAGGTAAGTCTGAATGAAGACTCACATTCTGCAGGCAGGGAGCTAGAAAATCACTCTAGAAATTGGACAGCTCCCCAGAAAGAAAGGCTTCAGGTACTGACACTTGAAAGGTCTCACCTCAGTGAAATAGCCAACTTCTTTGTTTAGATTTTGGTGAGGTTCATCAGTAAACAAGTCCTGACCATACATGGAGCTCTATTGCCATACACTTAAAGGTAAACTCACAACTAAGAGGGAACCATTCTTAACATGCAAAGACAAAACAAACACGGGGAAACAAAAAACAGAAAAGGAGACCAAGGAAGAGAGAATGAAGATGTAGAAGAAAACATTTAAAAAGAACATCCTTAGAGAAAAACTACTGTAACTAAGAAACAAAAATAAAATCCTGTAAAAAAAAGCAACATTTGGGGATCAAGAAGCAGCTCTGGCTGTATTAGGATACGTAGTTCAAAAGAAGGGATTGAAAGATCACGTAGAATAATACAAAGCAAAATTAAAGAAAATTAGAGCATTAATCTGTCAAAATAATCAAAGTTCCAGAAGACAGAAGAAAAAAAAAACAGAAACAACAATTAAAGAAACATTGACAGAAAATATTCCATAACTGAAGGACATGAATCTTTAGCCAAAAAGTTTCAATCAAAATACAAAACAATTTAAACAAACTCAAATTACTAAGATCTACCCTTTTAAGAATGCTCCCTACTGCTCTAGCTCACACAACTTTGACATTCTAAACTCTAGATGATTTACATTAATCTGAAGCACTTAGACCTTGAATCAAATAATAGCTTATGATATTTTAACCATTTGCTAGGCACTGAATAGGGTGTCTTACACACCGTCCCCCCGCACTTTTATGTTGAAACTCTAAACCTCAATGTGACTATATTTGGATACAGGGTCTTCAAAAGGGATAATCTAAGATGAAGTGAGGTCATAAGGGCAGGGTCCTAGTCCAATACAGTCTTTCTGGAGAAAGACATCTCTGCCATGTAGGGGCTGACTACTGGCCAGGAGGAAGGCGCTCACCACAACTGGACCATGTTGGGACCCTGATCTTGAACTCCCAGCCTTCAGAACTGTCAGAAAATAAATTTCTGGGTTATGATATTTTGTTACGGCAGTCAGAGCTGACCAATACACTGCTTAATATTTATTTTAAATTGTATGTAATCATACATAACCTATGACTGGTTTTAGTAAATATTTGTCAAATTGATACCAAGCCCCACAAAACTCTAGTAAAGAACAATTTTTGCAGACATTAAAATCCACTGTTTTTTTTTTCTTATTAATATTATTGTATAGAATTATAAGAAACAATGCATTTCTGTGTACTGTTACCAAAATACTGACTAAATTAGTTGTATAAATACATAGCCTTTAAATCTGGAACTGCTAAAATATGATAATATAAAGTTACTTGGTTATTCAGAAAACACCCATTGATTGATAGAACTGTAAAGATAAAAGAATCCTTCTCAGTCTACTAGAGGCAGAAAAGAAACTGCATTGGTACTGTGGCCCATGAAGTTGGGTCAGAGATGGTCTGTGGAAGAGGGAATGCCAAGAAGTAGTCTTGAAAGGACAGGCTGAGGAGTTGCCAGTTAAAAAAGAGGGTAAGTCACTGTAGACAGAGAAAGTAGTATGAGTAAAGACTCAGCAGTGAGGAAGAGCATCATGGGAAGAATGTTGCATGGCAAATATCAGGGAGGGGAAAAGAAGGGGAAAGAGTGAGGAAGGGACACCCTGTGGAGGGCTTGGAAGGATAGACAAGGAGTCTGAATATTACATAGAAAACTATGGATACTAAGAACTCAGGAACTGCAGGCCACTGAAGAACATGCTCAGCTTTGCCTAGAAGGTAGAACAAAGAGAAGCAAAACTGGAGGCAGGGCAACCATTGAATAGACTGCTACAGAAATCTAGGCAACAAGAGTTAAAAGCCCATAAAACAATACTTAATAAATACTTGAAATATTTTAAAATGTATTTAGATACCTCATAACAAGAGCTTATAAGCCACT